CGAAGGCCGAGACCTCAACTTCAAGCCGCATACCAGGTTGACCAAGCTTTGAGGCCCCAATACCGGTAAGAATTGGCGCATGGTTGGGAACCCACTTCTTCATGTTCTCTACCATTCGGCCAAGGCCATCTTCAGTCCAGGCCTCGTCAAGTGCATACAAGCGGATGCGGAAGACTTGGGACCAACCTTGGCCGCCAGCTTCTTTCAAGGTGATGTCAACATTTTCAAATGCTTGGTCGATTTCCTGCATGAGATTACTGGGAACCTCTCCAGTCTTCGAGTCCCAACCGCCTTGAATTTGGTTTAGTGAGCGACATATTTGGACATAATACACTCCTTGCTTGCACCTACCTTGACCGGATATCTCAATGTTATCTCCAACTCGAACTGCTTGGCTGTAATGCATCTCCTTTAACAGTTTCTCGCCATATCCATTGTACGAGAAGTACTGAAGACCCGACATTTTGAATTTGATGGAGTGAGCGATTACAACGATAGTAGGAAGTTCGTGCAGATGTGAGAGGAAATGGTGTAAAATGGTTGGTTTCTTGTTAGTGAAGATTATTCTCGGTGACAAAAACCTGCCCAATGCTTCCAATCGAGTTTTCTACCGGTCTCTCTACTGGCATATACCTCTTTCACAGGCTTTATTTGACTTAATCGCACATAGTGCTACGTTCGCTAAACTCACGGTCATGCTCACTAGATGCAAGTATCGTCAGTTTGGGCCAACAACCTTGGTGGTGCGGCTAAACTCCTGTAGCCGGCTGATTAATGTTATGACTGAGACGTGCTTACGCCAAGCCCTTTTTCCTCCAACATGGTCCAGATCAGGTCTTGGGCAAGCTTAGCGCCGAGAGAATTGACAGCGGACGAGCAGCCAAGGATTGCGTCTTACTAATCTTGAGGAAGAATAGTGTTTTAGACCATTAGGACTACCTCAAAGTCGGGCACACCATCAGTCCGAGTTCTTCTTGTGGCGAAGCCAAGCAGCGAAAGAAGCGGAGGCCAAGACAATTTTCAAAGCAACTTAAGGGATACCTTAACCATGGGAGCACATATGCTCTGGCTCTGTTGCCTGTGATGGCTTGCTATCAATCACCCTTGGCGGCATTCCATGAGCAGAGAAGAATTCGACGGCCAATTTCCGGCCTACATGTCTTGAATCAAGGTGTAGACGATTTGCAGTCGTCTGCCCAGATCATTTTCATTTGGCCATGCTTGTACTCCGTCGCTTCCGTCGGGGAGATGACCTGTCTAAGTCGGTTAGGATGAGGTAAGACAAAGTTTCACCTTTTGGGTAGAAGATCTGCCTTTCACGGGCCGGGCACTGGCGCTGAGACCTTGGAACCGTGGCGCATTCGACATGATGGGGAGTGAATTTATAAACGTTTCTATCATTCCAAGAAGCTAGCGTCACCCCATAGGTCCCATTCATCGTGAGAAATCTGAGCCGGCGCTATCGGCATCATGCGCCGGATCTTTTATTCACGCATTGGCGATGCGGCCAGGCTCCGAGACAATCCTCAGCGTCCAGAATAGTCTTGAGGTACGGGCCTACCAAATATCATGCCCATAATCTCCAGATTCTCGTTAAGGCCAGAGCAATACCAGACGCAGCTATAGGCACGATCAGATACCTCATGATCCTCACCGCAGCCATTAGCCCTCTCTTCACCTCCCTCTGTTGGAAATCGTGCATCCGCAGCTCAAATACTTTGCCACCATTAAGATGTGGAAAAGGCATGTCCGATATCTCCTTGTCGAGGAATATGCACAATGGCTCCCATTCCGAACCAAGCTTGTACTCTAACAGGCGTTCTTTAGAAACAAGCTTCCGTATTTTCTCGGAATGCTCTTGGCATATCATCTTGGCGTTTCTTTGCCATTTCGTTTGATTGTTGCAGCGGAACATTGCGTATTGCAGATCCCGTGTAACCGTAACGGGCTTCAGCGTCTGAAGAGGCTCGATCAGATGAAGTACAGCCCACATCTTCCAGATAAAGAAAGACCTGATGATACCTTCGTCATATGACTTGTAGCATTTACTCACATCTCGTTTGACAAGCACAACTATAGTCTAAATAGCTAGATGAGCCAGCTAATCTTTGTGGTTGTGGTAGGAGTGGGTCACCGCAGGACAGGTCTGGAGGAGCTTCTCTACAAACCCGATCGCCGGATTATCTGAGATAACAGCCCATTCTCCTACCAAATCATTAAAATCTTTGGTCGTAAAGAGCTTGCCCTTTCTGTGATACTTGGCTTGGACTGCATCGAACCAGCGGAGATGATCTTGCGGTCTTTCCATATAAGCGAACCCGTGGTATGTCGGCATTCTAAACTCTTCATATGCGGCCTTCATGGAAAAGCTACACATCCGAGGAAGACTCATGTGCAAAACTTGGACAGTGAATCTTTGATCCATGCTGGGACATATTTGTGAGCGAATGCAGCAAAAAGCATTGAAATGCTCGAGAATGTAAACTCCAAAGATTTGGGGAAGCAACTTTTTTCCAGGTCAAGTTTCTGCGCCGCTTCTCAAGTTCTCAATGCCCATAAACTTTTGTAAGCTGACTGCAGTTTGAAAGTCCTGCTTGAAAATACCACATTATCTATGCGCCATAAGTCTTCGGATGACCTTGTCTTGGTCGCTCGTTCCTAATTGAGGTTCCCTTGTGCTTCTTCAGTTGATCTGTCCAATCATAATTAGTCGACCGTAAACATCGTGACGAATTACACCAAGGCTTCAACGCCAAAGCCCTCAATATAATGCATGCCGCCATTCGCGTCAATCCGACCACATTCGCGCTGCGGGTTCCAGTCTCTGAGACTCCATTAATAAGGTCATTATCGTCCAACCAAGTATCTAAACACGTGAGATATGCGGGGGTGAGCGGGATGAAATCAGTCTTCTGTAAGCAGCATGAAATTGCTCAGCTCCAGAATCAAATCATTTTGATTTGCAACCTTGGATGTGAACACATGATAAGAGTATGTACCTTGGATTATAGTAATTAATAGCAAATCGTCAACGCGCTGACTCCGATTCTTCATTGGTTCTGTGGCAGTATTTCTTATCCATCTGCGACAGCGAGCGACCTTCTGACCTTCATTCATCAACGGATGTCGGTATGGATTCTTGCAGAAAATTCCTTGCAGCGCACTCATGCCATAGAAAACACTCCAAACAGCGCCCGAATTCAAGTCGTCTCCTTCCAATACAAGGAAGCGTCCGCCTGCCTCTTTTTGTAAAATATAGTTATACTTTACCTTGGCGGGTTCCTTGCACGTGACCTGAAATCTCGGAGAACCTTGGTGGCTGGATTAACTTCTAGTCCTTAGTCACAGCAACATGGGTACGTTATCCAACTTCTCTCACAATTATCACCTTATTCTTGCCTTGGTCGATCGCTTTCAATTCGCATGATCAGTTAGAAAATCAACGCGCCAAAACAGCATGTCGTGGTCTGCTACGCAGCAAGACGCCGAGCGACTGGCCCCGGTCGCGCAGTCATGGCATCAATACGAGCTAACGACCAATTCTTGGGAGATAGTCAAAAACCACGACGTCGACAGTCCTCCACCCATCGTACCTCAAGATACCACCGAATCAAGCCCTCGTTTTGTTCTCGCCACGTGGAACGTGGAGGCATTTGATCGAGAGCCTGCCCGCCGCATCACCTCAATTCTCGACCAACTTCTGAACCATTCGCCTTCACCCGATGTCATCTTCTTCCAAGAAGTGTCGATAACAATGCTGAGTGCGTTGCTAAACAACAGCACAATTCGCGACAATTGGTATTCCAGCGAGAAAGACTCACAGAACTGGATAGGCGCTCCTCTCGCGGCTTTCGCCACCATCACTTTCCTATCCAAGGCCAAATTTGGTCACTTCGGCAGAGTAGCTCTGGCGAGTCTAGGACGGGTCTCGCGGATCAAGTATCGATCTTTCTACAGACGGGATGCGCTGTGCAGTGAGGTGTTCGTACCATCGCGGCAGCCGGGGACTCAGACGATCACATACAAGCGGCTCCAACTTGTCAACGTGCATTTGGACTCTCTATCCAATGGGGCGGCATGCCGTCCAGCTCAACTTCAGTGTGTCGGATCACTTCTGCACGAAGTTGGCCATGGGCTGGTAGCGGGAGACTTCAATCCTGTCACTCCACATATCGATGCAAGCCTGGTGGAAGACAATGACCTCCTCGACGCCTGGAAGGAGTTGAAAGGCGAGGAGAATGGGTACACATGGGGAGTTAATGGTACCGAAAGATTCCCAGCGAACCGGATGGACAAGGTTGCAACGGTGGGGCTCAGACCTCTGCATATCGAAGTTTTGCATCCGATGCAGGTACTTTTGCCGGGCGAAGATGGCTCTGTTCCATGGAGCGACCACTCTGGGCTCAAGTGTACTTTCACGCTTGCCTCGCCTTGAACAGGCCAAATTGCAGAGGCTAGAATGATGCAGATGGTCATAACTTCGTGAACTACCTTATTGCTGCAGGTGTCTCTTTAGTTTCACAATGTTTTCTTCACTTTAATAGTCCTGTGCTCTAGCTGCGTCAGCGCTAGCACCAACGTCAGCAATAAGCGACGTAGCTGCCTGGAAACCCCCTCACAAGTAAATTGGCGACGAACAATCACAGAAGACGAAGCTTGTTGGCTTACCCCAGATTTTTGAAATTCTTCATTCTTTACCTCAATCTTTGGTTGACTCGACTTTCCTCTCACGACTCCCATGCGATTCACTTCCACGCTTATTGAAAAGGGCCAACACGACCCGCGACAGCTGGGTTCCCTATCGAATTCTTGTGGACACTGTATTCATTGAGACATTTGGACATCGGCTTTGTGCCTCATCATGGAGCATCTTCCGATACCCCGCGACCCAATTGGTGGGCATCCGAAGATAGCATTGGGTACCAAACAGTTTCATAAACCTGGACCTTTTCTCGACTACCTGACACAACACAGTGAGGTTCTCAACGCACAGTATCCACATGTTCCGACTCAAGCCGATGCCCTTCAAGGGCGGTTTACAGCCGGTATATCGCATATGCAGGTCATTGACTACTACCAAGGCTGGTTATTCTGCTCTTTTCTTCAGGAGTTTCTGGGCGACTTGTACAAATGGCAAAGTTATACATCTTGCACATACAACGATCAAGGAAATCTCGAAACTATCAGCCTATCTACGCAGACCTTGCACGAGGACCTGGCATCAGTACGTGCAAATGGGCCGCTGGCATCCATCCGAACCGGCGATGCATATGAAAAGCACCTCAGCAAATGCTTGGATCGAGCATTCGAGGCCTTCGATGAGATCGAGTTCAGATTCCCAGGCTTTTCAGCGGCCTTTGCCGATGAAATTCTTTGCATGGCCAGCTTGGCTGAGACATTAGACTCTGCAGTCCAGACTGCCCTCGTTCACGGACCAGTCGCCGGTAAGCCACACCCCCCCCCCCCTTAACCCATTAACAGCTGGCAAGTTCTAGACCCTGGAGCTTATGCTGATGCGATCTCTTTCTACAGAAATGGACCGAGATGTACAGCACTTCCCAGAGTCAGCCAAGCGCCCCTGGTTCTCCAAAGTTGCCTCGATGCTTGATTTGTCTTCGGGCGGCAAAAAGCTCGCAATGATCAACGCCGGCTGGTGCCCTGGTGATATCACTAAGATCGGCGAAAGCTTCAATACCATCGCCGCTTTCTACTACTTTAGCAAGTTCAAGGCGGATTCAACAGTGGCAGACTCACACAAAGAATGCCCCGAATATGGTTGCGGTCTCAGAATACCGGCAGAGCCTAAACACATGAGTGAGGGTTGCGACTGCCCGGGAATGGTTTCTTTTGATGAGGAAAACCTTATAGACATCTACCAAAAGGGCGATGTCCCTTGCTTTTCTATTGGAAGGCTTGAAGACGGCAGTTTGGGCATCGCTCTCAGTTCCTGCAGCATCGACGAAGAGTCGCAGAAGGACCCCAACAATCATTACGTCGCTCTCTCACACGTATGGTCAGAGGGTATGGGCAATCCAGCGGCGAATGCCCTGCCCTTTTGTCAGTTGGCTTACGTACAACACTGGGCGATGATGGCATACCAAGTCGTGGAAGAGAAAGAAGCAGACGAATCTAAGGATGGCACAGGGATCATGATCCAAACGAAACCCAAAATACGCCAGCTCAATATCTGGATTGACACTATGTGTTGTCCTGCGACTCCTGGATATGGGAAGAATCTCTGCCTCTCCATGATGCGAGAAATCTACTCAAACGCCAATGTTGTCATGGTGAGAAGCGCAGTGCTTGGAGCCTTGGAGATAGGCGACATTGTACGGGATCCATCTAGGGGGGTGATGGACGTCGCAGCACAGGTGTACCTATCTCCTTACATGCGCAGGATGTGGACATTACAAGAGGCAGTCCTAGCTGGAGCCTCCAGAGCTCGAGGCATTGGCGACCGGCTCTGTCTGTCATTCGCTGATGGCATCCTCTCACTCGAGTCAATCATCAACCTTCTAAAGCAAGCACCCCGACAAGAGGCCTTGTTGGCATACCGTTTCATGGCAGAATTCCGCGATCTCAGCACTCATATGTGGCAGCTGGGGGACGATGATAACGAAAAGCCAATGAAGCACAATCTGAAGGGGTTTGACTTCTTCTTGAACATGCTCACCGTTGCCTTGAAATACCGCAACGTCACGGTTGCGTCCGACGAGGTGATTTGCTTGGCTACGCTGCTGAATCTGCGTATCAACAGCACACAGGGAGTCGTACCTCTCATTGGTCACGGAGAGACTCCAGAGGAGGGCATGTGTGAGTTGTGGAGGAGGCTCCAGGCCCTCGGCGGGAGTCTGCCATCTGACCTTATCTTCTCCTCTATCCCGCGTGTTCAGGTGCCAGGATACCGGTGGGCACCCGCAACTCTTGTCCAGTACGCGAAACACGGCAATCTTTACGTTTCTCATTCCAGTGCGTATCCGGCGAAGATTACCGACAAGGGTCTACACGTGAGGCTTCCTGGGGCGCGACTCACGAGTCTGGCTGCCTCTGGTTCATTTGGCAGGTTACTCCCAAAGGTATCTGCGAATGGCGAGAAGGATATCCGTCCGAGAGATGAAGCCACACCCCCTTCGGTATTCTTGGCAAAGTTACAAGTAGATGAAGTTGGGTGGTTCGCTGTCAGAATTCACAACGACTCCAATTCAAGCCAGAGGCTAAGTCTTCTCCAACTTCTCGGAAGCAAGTCAGCAGCGTTGATATACCAAAATACCAATATCAGCGGGCCAGGTCTGCTCGTTTCAATTGCATCGCCACCGTCAGATCTGAGCGCTCTCGACATCCTGAGTCTGAACCAGGAGCCCCTCCAAAGCACAAGTGAATTTTCGGTAAAGATAATACCACTCAGCGGCGGGGCTAGCATCATTGCTGAAGCAGCCAGCAACTGTGTCGAAGAGCTAAACCGAAGGGTTGTGGCTGAATCAAGACAGCGGGGAGGCGGAGATACCGTTGAGAACGTCTGGGAAGATGCGCTTGTCATTGCCGACCTATTCAAGCAAACGGCCGAGATAACTGTGGAAGAGTCCAGTGCAGCCCTGAAAGAAGCCTTGTATTTCGAGGTGTTGTCTACGAAAGCCTCTGCCACTTACGAGGCCGCCACCGAGCGCTTCATGCAGTATGTGCGCCAGGTGGCGTACTTTGGCGGCGGTATAAGGTGCGAGTCGTATCCGGAGGACCAAGACTGGTATGTGGATTGATTCTGGTCTGAATCGGGGTTAGGCCTTCGTGGGGTCGGTGGCATTACCACATCGTAGGCAGAGCTTGAGTCCCTTCGGACTGGACGAAGTTCTTCCAAATCATATATCCGAAGGGTGACGAAGGCTAGTATGGGTTGCCTTCATATAAGTCTTTTAATCGAACGGCCGAGATCATTGTTGGAATCGATCCTGATGTTGGATCGAAGAGAATCCCTTTGCGCGGGCGTTGAACCTGGTCTTCAACTAGATCTAGCCTCCACAGAAAGGCCCATCATTGTAGTCTAGACTGCTTAGGTATTTTAGGTAACCCGAGTGCCCGAGTGGGGAATTTAGAATCTGACCTTGAATTGTCTAAGTCACAAATGGGAGGTCTCTTGTACCTCTGTCTTGAGCACCTAGCTCCTGGTGGCTTTGAGACACCCAGATAGCCGAGAGTGATGGTCGACCAGCGGGGCCACGGACACTTGCTCCGTATCATTCTAGGTAATAATTTAAACATGCCCATGACGTTTCAATCACGGAAACAGATAACCTCATGTGAGACAATACTTACTTCACGGGTGGCTTGGCAGATCGGCGAGATTGTATCGCGTGCCCGGTCACGATCTGGACAAGCTTGCACAACGTCATATCTCCAAGATGCATAAAGTTACAACATCTATCTGACTGCAGTCTTTATATAATCCCAGTGAAAGATGAAGTTGCCAAAATTTGACACACAGTGGAAGATTTGGTCAATTGTACATGTATGCTGGGTCAATTATTATGTGTAAGGTATAATGCGTAGAGCCCTGGAAAAAGAGCTCCTCGCCGTTCGGGGCGTTCGGCGTGAACACCGTCGTCTCCCGGCGGTCTGGTGCTCGTTACACGAATCTTTGAGACATTCAAATGTACGAGTCATCTGAGTTATCCGCGTAAACCTTCATGAACATTGAATGCCTTTCTCAACTTACTCCCACTACCCCTCCAAAGGAGGTACATCGATCGCAACCAGCCATGCAATGGCCGCCACCTCAACCCGAAGTCTATGTAGTTTGTGCCACACTCATGGCTTCCACGTATGGCGTATTGGAATTAGATTTACTCCTTTCATTTCCTCCCACAAAGCACTCGCATGGAGTGTAGGCGGGCCGCCGAGCCACAAGGCCTTCCATATTCTGCGCCTTAATCCAATTGGTTTGCCCAATCAAGACATCCAGTAGGCGATCAAGTCGAGACAGACTGATCTAGGTCGTGAACATAACATTGCATGCCCATTCCTGTCAGTCTGATGGGCTTTCGAACAATCAGCCAGCATGAACTCCATTGTTCCTCTTGCTATGGAAACGGCTGGTCGGAGCACATCTGCAAGCGGGCAATCAGATGGCAAAGACTTGGCGATAGCGAATAAACTGATCGATGTTGTCGAGGTGGTCATAGATCCGCCTAGACATCCCCGCCTGGACTTCTTCGAATCAATTTGAACGCATGTAGAATGGCCGTTTCGACGATCGCTCTCTTTGAAGTAGCTTCTGCTGCCATTCTATACTTGTCTTTTTACTCTTAATGGAGGAGGCGTATCGCTCAGGACACGGAAGAGCGGTCCTGGGAAGACTTTTGGGGACTCCCCTATCTTTCGCCCATCAAGGACCGAGCCTTGGGGTGTAGAATGCTCAGTTCTTAAGTGAACATGTCGAAAACTACAATTTTATGGCGGCTCATCCTGCCGCCGCTGCTTCTAGGAAGCAGCAGTCTGGCGCAATCATGCCTCGAGGCGCTCAACAATAATCAGGTCGACGCGTGTGTGTGCTACTCCCTAGAATATGTTGTCAGTTACGTCGCCTACATTGCTGTTTCTACGTCATACACGTCAAATTGCGAGGCTCTGCCCACGATCTCGGCCACCACATCCGCCGCGCCTCCGCTTCTAGAGAGTAACCGTGCAGGTGGAAACTACTCAGGGTACGTAACAATTAGCAATGGAGTTTACACTGGAACGGACATCTTAGCCGGGCCGACTACGAGAGCAATTTTGGGACCCGATGGATCGGGGACATTGGTAGTGGAGGATCCGCCTTCGTATACGACAGTTTCTCGAACTGGTACGGCAACATTCAGCCCCGGATCACTCCCGAACGTCGTCAACTCCACAAGCTTTCTGACTACAAATCCCATCACGGCACCACGAACCATTTTGGTTGCCAACCCCACGCCGGGGGCTTCCACAGCTTCTCAAGGAACTGTGGTTGTTGCAGTGCCTGACCCGAGGTTATACAACACGAGCACACTCGCTTACTCTGGGTCCGATCCCTTCGGCGCAATTCGAACGACCATTTCAACTATCGCCGAGTCTGGCTTTATGCCTGGGACCTACGTTGTCGCTGTCGCCACGACGACAGTACCAGATGTGTCCTACGATGCTTCTACGGTTGTGTATACTGGAACAGCCGTTCTTTCGGGCCCAACCGTCGTGTCAGTCATTCAACCCACGGACGGGAGTGGTCGAGGAACTGTGGTGATTGGAGTTCCGCCGACTGGAGTTCCCCCTCCTCAGGTGACGTCGATAGTTCCGTATGAGGGCACGAGTTCTATTACAGCACCGACGACGATTCTCAACAGGCCCTTCGACGGCACGGTGCCGGGAACCGTCGTAGTCGGACTACCACCGTCATCTTTCATCACGCAGACTGTGCCATTTACGGGTAAAGAAGTCCTTACGGCCCCAACCACTATCTCGATAGCACCGCCAAGCGGCTCTCGACTTGGTACCGTTATCATCGGAAGTCCATCAGCCACATTCTTGGCCAGCTTCGTTCCTTTTACAGGATCTACCCAGGAAACACTGTCTGTGATCCAGCCTACAGGCACATCTCCAGGAGTCGTAATCATAGGGCTACCCGGAGATTCCAATCCAAATGTCGAGGATCCCACGTCTGCTGCTTCGGCGCCTCAGGTAACGCCGACCCGATACGTCACGTCGATTGTGACCTACACCCCCGCCACAGATGCTCCTAGCACACCATCGACCTTGGCTGTCATAGACGGTACGGTTATCATTGGGTTACCTCGTATCGCATCTCCAGCTGCGACTGGCTCAGATTCTTTTATCACTTCGGCGAGAAGAGGGCCCTTTGTCACTTCTATTGTCGACTTCACTCAGGGTGTGGACTTGCCGACAACTGTTGATCCTGTAGGAACCATTCCTGGAACGGTCTTTGTTTATGCCTCATTGAGAGATGGGAATTCGGCAAGTCGGTTCGTTACTTCCGAGGTCGTGTTGCTTGGAACAGCGGCTGGCTCGGCGCCCACGACAATCTCCGTTGTGCAACCAACAAATGGACTTCCCGGAACCTTGATCATTGGCAGGCCAGCAATCTTTGTGACTTCGACTGTTTCTTGGACAGGCTCGGTTCCTTTACCATCCAGAACAACAGTTGCAGTCGTGGCCCCCTCAGGAGACAGCCCGGGCACAGTGTTCGTTGCGGATCCCACGGCTGTGGATAGACAATTTTTAACGTCTTATGTTCGACTCTCTGGTACCCAGGAAGAGGGCGCTGCAACAACGTTAACTCTGATACCAGGCCAGGGCACTTCGCAGCCAGTCATCGTCATTGGAGTTCCTGGTGACTATATAACTTCTACAGTTGACTTTAGTGGAACAGACATACTGACGACAAGGACCACACTTTCGACATTACCGCCGAACGGAGTGGCACCAGGCTTCATTATTGTGGCCGACCCACCAACGTCAGCGTCTATAGGAACTCCTGGGGTAACAAATGGGGCTTCTGGTGACACTCAGCCCGACTTTTTCACCTCAACAGTCTTGTATAAGGGCTCGACTACATTTACTTTGACCAGTATTCGGCCCTCAGGACCCAACAGGGGTACAATTGTGCTTGCAGTGCCCTCGGCGGCCTCGTCATCAAGAGCTCGAGAAAGCCCCGCGTCGCAAGTGAACAATTCAAGTGTGGCTCTAGCCTCATTCGTTACTTCGACCGTTGTCAATCTTGTCGGCTATTCTGTTGCATCACGAACTACAATCTCGACAATTACTCCTGATGTTGAGAACTCTGTACCTGGCACTTACGTCGTGGTCTTGCCCAACGCCTACATTACCTCGACTGTGCCGTGGACTGGAGCGATGCCCTTGTCAACCTTGACCACTATTTCAACCATACCACCTTCGGACTCTCAGTCGGGTGTTATCGTTGTGGCTGTTCCGAATGCGATAGTGTCATCTACACCTCAGCCACTAGGTAGTGATGCAACACCGCAGCCGGTTCCTCCAAGCAATGCTACCCCAGGAGACTCAGCTACGCCGCTTCCTGCCACACAACTATCAGCACAGACACGCTTGACAACCTCAACAGTACTTTTGGCGAGTAATCTTGGGATTTCATCAGCAACCACTCTGACAACACTTCAGGGGAATCCGGGTTCACCATCCACGGTACTGCTTGGCGTTCCTGCTGCCACCGGGACCTCCATCGCGAAAGAGACACTGGAGGCTACTTCCAATGCGAATGCTGGGTCCCAGTCACCTAGTGACTCGGAATCTGGAGCCATATCAACTCCTGCAGGCATTTTGATCTCGATAGCTACGCCCACTGACTCTTTGCCATTGACGACTGCTCTCGCCAACTCTGCAATTGATTCCATGGTCACTTCAGACATTTTCTACAGCGGAACCAACACATTTACCTCGCCCTTTCCACTGACAACTCTCTCGGCTGGCCTAGGAAGTCCTGCGACTGTAATACTGCTCCAACCGTCATCGGCCACCGGCTCAACTAGTAACTCTGCAGAAGGCACCGGTTCTAGTCCGCTGGCAGCTGTCTCGTCGTTGACGGCCAACAACTCGCCAACCCCAACTACCATTGTCCCTGTTCAATCTGGAACGACAAATTTGCCGCAGGCTTCCGTTGTCACAACTACTTTAGATGCGGGCAGTAGTTTCTCGGAGACCGTCCAGTCTCAGATTTTGGGATCCCAAGACATTACGCGGAGCTTGCAGACCG